ATAAATTGAACTACTTGTGACCTTCCCCAAATGATGGTATCACTATGTTGTGATATTAAAATAAAAGACAATTAGTTTCCCAAACTCAAATACTAATGATTTTATTAAGTCGTTCACTCTATGTATGATACATAAACATACCTACTTAGGATGCTAATGCCCCAGCTTTCTGGCGAATCATATTTTGGATTCAATACCCTTGAAAAGATTTTATGCTCTTTAAAATTTCTCACACTAACTCTTCTACATGTAAGATTTAACCCACTAAAAGGGAGTATATCTTCTCTAAAAACAAATACAGAATTTTACCCTGACCAGGTAGACCAGGTTTACCCTAACCTACCCTGAGGTTCAGTAGGTTATAGCATCATCCTGCTACACCAAGGCTGCAGGTTTTATCCCTCCCCAGGGCACATACAAGAATCAACCAATAAATGTGTAAACAGGTGAAACAACAAATTGATGTTTTTCTCTCTCTCCCCCTCAAATTAAAAAATAAATAAATAAAAATAAAAACATAATTTAAAATAGCTTGAAGACCCCATCTCAATAACGAAGCTCTGAGTCAAGGCTTTGAGTATGCTCCAGTGTGACTGCTTTGTGAAATCACACTTTTAGATATGAGTATACTTACTAGAATTGGTCTAGTATTATACAAATAAACACTTTTGCAATAAAGCACTTTCTATATTACTTTCAATATAGATAAACTGATGAGGTTTTCTTTTTGCTTGGCATTAAACATAGGAAATGTAGACTTCTGTCACAATTTAAAATTTTTTTGGTATCATATTTACACTGAGATTAATTTTAAAGAAAAGTCCAGTTATATTTATGAGTGGTCCCTACTTAGTTCTTTGGACATTTGAATTTTTCTGTATTAGACACTGATACTTTACCTTTTCTGTGATAAATTTGGTGTTTAATCCATCAATTAACATGTTTTAATAAACTGCATAGTGAGGCTATCAGCATGTCAATATGCAGTTTTAGGCAATGAGGTAGAAGATGTCACTTTTTAGTGCTTTGAAAACAGCCTTTTCTTACCAAAGTGAGTAATGCTTATATAATCAAAGAAGCAACCTGATGACAAAAAAAAAAGAACTAAGGCCCTTTGAAATAAAAATTTGACAATAGAAGTAGAAATAATGAGTTTCCCATGGATACTCTGTGAAGATCTTAGTTAACATTATTTTATGGCACCCTCAATGAGAAGTGATCACAGAGAATTTTAGATTAGAATGTGACATGCTCATTATCATGTAGTCCAAACTCTTCACCATGCAGTTAAAATCCTGAGGGGCCAATGGAATTTAAGTACTTGTCCAAAATCACAACTAACTCAGATCTGTTAATATTCAATTTTCCAAATGATTAATGAACATACACAATATCTGATGAGACCTTCAGAGACTATGAAGAATGTTTTAAGTAAATGAACCTGATCCATTAATTTCTGTTTGTACTTATTAATGATACTTGAGAACCCCACGGTGAACTTCCTGAGGCTCAGAAACAGTACCTTGTTATCTTCATACCCCGAGAGTGGAACACATTGCATGATGCAAAACTGTCAATATATATGTTTAATGAATGGATGGATAGAATGCAAATTCAGTTAAGACCTTCGGATATCATGACTGTATAGCTTTCGTATGAATTCTTTAAAATGGGCCACTGACAGAAACATGGGGATTACACCTGACCCTCTGCCATACTCAAGAGACTGACCACCCACCTTAATTTCCCCAGGGAAGGTCACAGTCTACAGATTACTTGATACATAGCTCAAAAGATAAATAGCATGTATGTGCCTTTAGGGGACATCTGGCATCTCTCCTAAGGACTTTGTGAAAATAAAAACAAAATACAAACTGGGTAGTAATTAGATGTCCCCAGAGAAAAATGCTCCTCATATCATTCATGATAATGTTATTCAAGTACTTCCCAACATCAGTGTACCCAAAGGGGGAGAAAATTCCTTACATTTAGGTCATCTCTCCAACCCAGGCTTATCTTCCTTACAGCATCATAGCTGCTGAAAACGTCTTTTGCCTCCCTGATCTCCACCCCTACCTCCTTGCATAGCCTCCTGACTCCTTGGTAAACCCTCCTCCCCAAGCCTCACGCCAAAGTGCTCCCACTCCACTTACCCCCTTTGTCCCACACATGCCCTTTCTGTTGGAGTTCACCATGCCCTAGCTCCTGTGTCACTGCCCCACAGTGCTCAGTCTCCAAGGACTGGCAGTGCCTATCCCTCTGGGAACCCTACTCACCCCTGTAGGCTGTGACAGACACCTCAAAATAGTGTCCAAGTCCACTGGCGCACCTCTGTAGGAAGGAGGCACCACCTGAAGGCTCCAACACATTTTCTCAGAGAAATGTTGATGGAATGATTTTTTGATGGAGCTTAGGTATTATTTGTACACAATTTAACTTATTTGTATAATATGGTATCCTTAAAATCAAAACCAACATTTAGAACTACCATATTTTGCCATGTACAATGTGCACCCATGGTTTGTGCACATTACACACAGGACTGTTATATCTGTCATGACACCCCTAGTATGTAATCATTATACACATGTATAATGTGCATACTTATCTTTCCCTCAAAAATTTGGGAAAAAATGCACATTATATACAGTAAAATGTGGTATATTTCCATGGGGGGCTGATAAGGAGGGAATGCATTCTGACTTTAAATGATAAATTCACCAACAAAGTTCTAAAATACATTCCATTTCCAAATTAGAAATAATTAAATGAACAAAAATACATTTCATAGGTAACAGTAGCATTATGTTTAACACATTCTGGGAATGGTGAAACATCCCTGGAGCACTGATAGTTGGTAAGTTACAGAGGAACAGACATGCAAACCTACCTAACTAGCTAAACAAGCCCGACTTGTAATTTTACAAGTAATATGTTAAATTAACCTAACTGGAGCCTTTTCAAAAGCCCTCCACCAACCAGATTTATGTTATGGAAGAGGCCTGGTTGACTGAGGTCACATTTTCACCACAAGATTCTGTGGACTTAAAGTACAATATTACTCATTATTGAATAATGTAATTGAATGGGAAACAGATAATTGAGTTGTTGCAGGGTGACAGTCAAGAAAATACTCAGTGTATGAACCTCCACCATAAACTGTAAGGGGCTATGGTATCAGGAGGGGACATGATAAAAACAATAATAATATTAACCCATCCCAAGAGTTTTTTTCAGTTTTAGGTAAAGTAATAATCTCCATAGAATAATCACAAGAGACATCACTGAGTCAGCAACCAGAGGTGTGGTTTGTCTGCATCTGTGCAATCTCTTCCAGCAACTGTTCTACTGGTGATGCTTCCCACAATACCTTCTGAACATCTGCGGTCTAGAATGTGCCAGCCATAAAGGCAGGATCCACCCAGCCCCTCAGGCAAGCTCTGCAGGGTGCAGTCAGCACCCGCAATAGGTGTGACCTGAGCGCAAAAGCAAGGGGGGGTGGAATTTGGAACAGAAATCTGTGCGGGCTTCTATCATTCTGGGAACTGTAGGAAGACTGGGAGAAAACCAACAAAACAAAGGACCCTCTTTCATCCTGTTTCACACCATTCTCATTCTTTATTTTGAAAAAAACAAAAAGACCAGCTTTCTGTCCTCACAAGTTTCTTTCATCACTATCCCATTGCTTGTCAGGACTGATTCAGCCTCAGTCATGGATTTCCCTGGGGCCCTACCATTTGTTGGGGATGAGAAAGAAAAGAAGGGAGGTGCCTGTCAGTAAGAAACCTGGCAAAATGTCCAGCAAGTAGGAATCTGGAAATGAGGTATTGAACATCACAGCCTAGCCTAGACTGCTTGTCACCAGCCTGGCTTTTTCTTAATGTTCTGGCCTCGTTGGTTCTCACATCTACCTTAAAGTCAGAAACCCTATAACCTCATCACCCCACGCACAGTCAACAGGCTATCCTGTGTTCCCATCACCTCCCGCCCGCAGGGGTGTCCAACCAGCCGGCCACGTGCGGCCCAGGATGGCTGTGAATGTGGCCCAGTACAAAATCATAAATTTACTTAAAACTTTTCCTTCTTTGTCCATCAGTTTTCATTAGTGTTTGTGTATTTAATGTGTAGCCCAAGACAACTCATCTTCTTTCAGTGTGGCCCAGAGATGCCAACAGGTTGGACACCCTAAAGCATTATCGTCTCTTTCCAGATCCATGCTTTCAACTAACACACGCACAAGGTCTGCCTCCTCACCCACTACATATCAGTGATAATTCTCTCAACATGTCACAAAGAATAAGACTAAAGTTTCCAAGTACTTTTCCAGGAGCACCTAGTCACATGTTCCTTTTAAGGTCACTACCACCTAGAACAGTGGTTCTCAAAATCGGATACAGTATATACCACAATCTCGTGGCAAACGAATCAAGGACACAGGGTCTCCACTATTCTGGAGGCGGAAGTGGGGTTGGATACAAATAATTTTTTTTTCTCAAGAAAAACTTTTCCAATCCTGCCCCTCACACGAGATGTAAAGAATACCCCACGCAGCTCTGCAGCCTAGGCTCCTACCTGCACTTCCCGCCGTCCACCCCTTACACTCGAGCCTCTCCACTTCCACCCTTTGCTTCTTCCCTCAATGCTCTCCCCAGCCCTTCTCCCAGGTCCTCCGCAGCCCCTGAGGAAGAGGAAACAAATCTCGCGTCTACGGGGGGGCGGCGCCCGTCCCTGGGGAAACAGAACCCACCCCTGTTGACACTTAACTTCTCAAACTTTCCAACTCCCTCTCCCGTCCACTACGAGGAAAGAAAAGTAGACAAGGCACAGGAGACAGAACACGCTGCACCCTAATGGTCTTTGCTCAGGAGCGCGGGCTTTCCTTCCCCTCTGCGGGGCCGGGCCCAGGTGGGGACCGACCCTGGCCCCTGGCGTAAGCCGCCGCCCTGAGCCCCTTCCGCGCCACCCGACTGCACCGGGAGGGGAGCGAAAGCCCCACTCACCTCCAGCAGCGCTCGAATCCGCGCGCAGCCGCGCCCGCCGCCGACGGTGTGCGGCCCAGGAAGCGGCGAGCGGGAGGGAGGGGAGGGGAGAGGAGAGGAGGTACCTGCGGAGCGTCAGGTCAGCGGAGGGCAGCTTTTTCCGGCCCGAACCGCGCCCGGCGCCCCCGGGGCTTGGTGCGGAGCAGAGTGAGGGCGGGCGTGGGGACCGGTTACAACAAGTCCGAAGTGTCACACCAAACTCCGTGCAGCCAAGAAAGGGCCTTGGAACCTGTCTGAACTCAAAACCCAATCCTCTACCAACAAAGTAGAGAGCTTTTCTTTACTATCCGGTCTTGTAACTACCTAGCAATTACAAGTCCCCACACCTCGGCCACTGCGAGCGGAGACAGTGGCGCTCACCTGGGCAGGGGGTAAACCTCGAGGAGTAGGGCTATACTCCCATTTCCCGCCCTTCCCGGCTCCGGAATGCTCCAAACGGTGGCCCAGTGCGCTGCAGGGCTAGATCCAGGGTTCCACCACCAAGGAGAGAGTGGGGCGGATCCAACCCGCGGTTGATAATTCCAATCAGCAGCCAGCAATGCAGACCCCTACCCAACCACCTGAGTGTTTCCGGGCTTGGAAGTGGAAAAGTGGAAGAAAAAGTGCTTGTGCGTTTATCTTTTTATCTGAAAGAAGAATTTGAAGTATCATTAAAGATTTGGTTCAGACTTCAGACTGCCTTGGTTACTGACTTGGAATGAAAAAAACACTGCTTTAAATAGGAACACCTGAATGATAAGCAGGTTACTCTCGATGAGGGGCTATGGAGCAACGTTATGGAATTAGAGTTTTTATAATTTGGTTTTAATATAAAAACAGCAATTAATAAAATTTACTTTTATTTCTTTGTCTACATCTCAGTTACTCAGCCATAATTGTTTCTAGTAATTGTATAACCATATTGTCCTCAAGATGTAGCCATTAGCAGCAATCGACAAAAATGAAGCCTCTTACTGGAGGAATGAAAGTAAGGGTAGTTAGGCATATTTTAAGGTTCCAGCATGATATGTAAATTACCATTAAATGAAATTGACCTTAAAAATGACTTTTCTGGCTATTGTGCTCTGAATGAAACACTTGGGGAAATGCTAAACTGTTGCGATCTGAAATAGGTTTTGACTGAAGAGGAGATTTGGACGGGGGAATGAGATTTGCATATTCTTAGAGCAAAGGCCAAAGGCAGAAAGTAAAAGCAACTTCCAGAGCAATAACAAAACTAAGATTCCAGACTTTGGGCATCTGTGATCTATACTTTTTTCCTTCTTTTTCCTTCAACAGCATACAGAGAACCACTCTGTTTTATATATTTAAATTTTTTCTTACACTCTTGCTAATTTCCATGTCTCACCTTTTAATAATTTTGCAATTCTGGGCTTCATTTTCGACATGCTATTGTCTCACTCAATACATGTTCTCTGTGTGGTAGTTTATTTGCTGGTATGCTTTTTAAGCATTCAAAAATAATTCCGAATGCTTTTTAAAGAAGCAATATTTATTTCGAATAATATTCAAAATATTTATTTTGAAACTGCATTCATAAATATACATGTACTCATAAAACCAGCAAGAATATTTAGACTCAACAAATTAAAATGGGCTCATGGGAAGTCTAATTTTACTGATATGCACTCATACATAAATCAAGTGAAACCACAAAGAAGGATATCTACTACAGTGTTAATTACTGAAGGCAAATAAAAGAGAAGAAAATGGCTCTGGTTGGTGTGGCTCAGTGCATTGAGCACCCACCTGCAAACCAAAGGGTCACCAGTTCTCTTCCCAGTCTAGGGCACATGCCTGGGTTGCAGACCAGGTCCCCAGTAGGGGATGCATGAGAGACAACCACATATTGATGTTTCTCTCCCTCTCTTTCTCCCTCCCTTCCCCTCTCTAAAAAATAAATAAAAATCTGAGAGAAGAAAATGTAAATGAAGAGGGAAAATTCATTAAAGACACTATGCAAAGGGCATTCCATCCTTAGCGGGATAGGAGAACATATAAAATTGATATAACTCCTTAAGGAACCTACAAGCTAGATGAGGAGAGTGGACATGTGCACAAAAGAGGTGAGCTGATTAGTACAAGCCGGTGTGAGCTACAAGCTGGTGTGAGGAACTTTAGGTGGAAAGGACTCCAGTCCTTTGGGAGATAAGAGGAAGAAATGATTAACTGCTTAGGTCACTAGAGTATGCTGACAGAACTTCACAGAACTGTTAGAATTTGAGTTGGGTCCTGACTGAGCAGACTTGACAGGAATGTGAAATCCACATATGATTATATGTTGAACATGCAGAGTAAATAAAGGCTGGACTGTAAGAAAGTTCCAGGACCATATAAATCAATTGCCTGATTTGTCCATGGGCATGGCTGTGTTGGAAGGTAAGTTTAAGAATAGTTTAGAGTGATTTTCTCACCTACAGAATGAGGTCAGTATTATTTACCATCTAGGATTGTTATGAGAATTTTATGAATTAGAAATAGTTTATGTAAAACTCTTATCATAGCACTTGCTATATGATAAGACCATAATAAGTAGCCACTATAATTATACTGGGGGTCATATTGTGAAAAGCCCTGACTACGAAGCGAAGAATGTAGGCTTGGGTCTATTGATGATATGATTCGATGACCCATTTAAAGTTGGTGATCTTTAGTTCAAATTCTGGGAAGTCAGGAAGAGCTGTTTGGCCCAGCTGTGACACAAAAAGGATGACAACAGTGGGCAGAATGGAAATGGAAAGAAGGAGACCAAATTGAGAGCCAATGAGATTGAAAATCAGTATCATCTGGGGTCAGATTGGATGTGGAAGTTAAAGGGAAAGAAATAAGAAATAACTGGACTTTTAAGCTGCTAGAAGTTATCAGTGGAAGAAAGGACAGTGTACAATAACCATATGTGTGAAAAGTAGAAAGAGGCAGAAACAGGGTCATGTGAAAGGTTATTTTTAAGATATTCGGGATCTCTGTATATAGGCACCCAGACAAAGACTATAGAGAGATAGTAGAGGACAGAAAGAATAGTGGGTAAGGAACAAGGTCCATCTAGATGGTGTGGACAGGGAGACATAAACTGCAGTCTTTCCATATGAAATCTGAACCTAATAAATTCTCAATCTAATTTTTTTACAACAGATAGGATATATTAAAAACAGGAACTGAAATAAGAATTTCACAATTAATACTTAAAATGTAACTAGGTGGGATGATTGTATTCATTATTAAGAGGTTCCCAAGGCAATATTTATTGATAAAATAGCAAGTCAATCTTTGTTGGATCTTTATCCCACACTACAAAGTTGTCTGAAGTTCAAGAGCAAAATAGTGGACATGTTGAATTAATGGATCTCAATTTAGCTCCCAATTGAGTTCAAGTACACAAGGTTATTCAAAAGCAGTCTCAGGTATTTTTTATACCCTCAGAGTACTTATAATTTACTTGGGAAGACAAAATATATATGAAATAAAATAATGCAGAGATTAATATAGATAAGCACAAAAGTATGCATAAAAATAAAGGTGCATAAATTGTAGAAGAGAAGAAGCAACTACAGTTTATTTGGAAAAGATATTATCTTCTTGGAAACAGTTTTTTTCCCTAATTGTTTATATTGCTTTTAACAAACATATGTTCCTTCAGAAATTCCTAGAAATATGAGAAGAAGCCATTTCTTTGGGTTATAAGGTCTCAGTCATTATTTGTAGATGAAAGTCATTATTTGTAGACTAAGCACCTAGTCCCTTCAAGAGCTTTGAAATATTCATATTGTAAGCTGTTCAAGGCAATGGCTCCCAGGCAGATAAAGCCATTGATATAGAAAGAATGTCATGTCTAACATTTCCCCCAAGTACTTTGGGGAAGTTAAGAAACAAAATTCCTGTTAGTGTTGGCAAAACCTATGGGGTGAATCATAACATTAGTTTAATAGTCTTATGACATTCTATGTAAGACTACTGTGAAAATTATGGAAATGAACTTTGTAATCATTTCACATATCTGCCATATTTAAATTATTACATAAAATATTATGCAAATGTCATTAATTCAACATACATTTATTGAGAATATTCTGTAGGAAAGGCATTGTGTCACGCACTTGTTGGAGCATAGGATGGAAAGACTAATAAAGCATAGTGGATATAACTAGGATTCATTCATCTGAATCCTTAACTTGTCTGTGTGTGTTCATATGTGTGTTCCTGTGTGTGTGAAGATGGGAAAACTTAAATATAATTGAAAGTTCAAAAAGATATATATTTGTGAAAAAGGTGTGGAACTAAATGTAGTAAAATTAAATTAGATATATATGTAGATTAATTGTGTTTTTTTGTTGATTTTTTATCACCACACTTCTTTAGAATAGGAAACATACTTTGTGCTTCCTCTGTCTTTTCAAAATTATAATGTAATTATTTTTTAATTTATAAGTATCTATAAAAGAATAGATCATTGTAATAAACTATTTTAGGGAATGAGGGAAAGCAATACAATGGTAAAAGGGCAGAAGTGCTCCTTCATTTTTAAGTAGCTAAACTCATCATATCCTACTCCCTCATGAATGCATTTCCTCTTCTCTTTCTCATCTGCATATTAAATACATGAAAATATTAGGTTGCTTACATTTTTAATAACAAATAAATAACTAAAATATTGCCAGTATTAATTGGTAAAATGCATAGTCATACAATTAGATGGCTAGACAGAATGTGAAGTGATGCTAATAAAAAGATATTTGATATAAAGTACTGATTATTATAATTATTCAATTTCAAATATATCCATTAGTTTTTATTACCAGTATTTACTGAAACATATATAGTCCAGTTTAAATATCTTTTAAAATGCTTCACCTAATGTCTGAGAAATCATTAGGTATTTATTATTTTATGAATGAATATGAATAGCCACCTTCAGAGGTATTTTATCATGGCATTATGTAGCAAATATTATCACCGATATTATTAACACAATTACAGACATCCATTGCTATTGCATGTTATATGACTTAGGTAGAAATATATTAATAGTGATCATTCTAAGTGTCCTCAGAATCAGTCATCACCTGAAC